TAGCAAACGACAGAGATACGTGGAGGAATTTTCAAAGTGAGGCCAAGATTCAACTAGGATCGCTGCGCCACTAATGATGACGAAGATATATTAGTTTCAAACAAATCTTAAAATTTTAATTAGATAAATTAAAGTCGTACTCTCTATTTTACTTTTCGATCCCTTAAACAGCAATTTATAGTACTCTATAAGTACAATAGAGCAGACTGATAAGTTTATTGTTAAGAAATTAATAGAGAAGTTTCGAATGGTAGCAAGCTACAACAACAAAAATTTGTTTTATTTTGTTTTACAAATTGTGACGATTTTTTCCAACGCGTCACAAATAAATTATGATAGTTGAAAATAGCATGAAGTTATTATAGTAAACAAATAAAAAACCCAACAACAGAATTAAAACTATTTTAGCCGAAAAAAATATATATATAGCATGAAGTTATTATTATTATTGTAAACAAACAAAACAATAGAATTAAGCTATTATTAGTAAAACCAAACCCACGGAAAAAAATATTAGTCTAAGCTATGAAAAAAATATATAAAGTATTAATAAAGTAAAAGGAATTATTTTAGAAAGTAAGATAGTAATAAGTAATTATAAATTATCATAGAATTTAGTTATCAAAATTAAAAGAAACAATAAATCTCTTGAAAATACAAATTAAGTAATAATACTTCCGATTTCTTTGAGGGTAATTATTTTTGCAAAATTTTAATAATAAATATGCAGCGAACAACAACAGCAGAACATAGCGAAATCAGTAGCAGGCAATAACAACTTAGAAGAAAGCTACACAGTATGCACTCAGAAGTCAGTTATCCCGTTATATAAAATCCGTATAAAAGGAGAAGCAAAGTAAAACACAGGGACTTGGCCACAGCACTTCGAACAGTGCACATCACCAGAGGTTCAATCACAGGTCGTGAAGCAGAACACTTCACAAGGTAATCACAGAGGTAATTATTAAGTCATAGAACTGATTCCTAGCAACACAGCCCTATCGGTAGTGTTGTTTCCTAATCCCACAGTGTAGCCCAGTCGGTAACACTGAACCTAGCAACACAGCCCTATCGGTAGTGTTGTTTCCCAATCCCACAGTGTAGCCCAGTCGGTAACACTGAACCTAGCAACACAGCTCTGTCGGTAGTGTTGTTTACTAATCCCACAGTGTAGCCCAGTCGGTAACACTGAACCTAGCAACACAGCCCTGTCGGTAGTGTTGTCTCCTAGCCTACCTTTAGTCATTCTTTTGTGTTCTCTTATTTACAGGAGTTATATTATTTGTCCGTATTTATAATTACAATAAAATATCATTAGTACATAAGTATAACTATAAATATTGTAATAAATTTATTTTAAGAAAAATAATAAAAACCACGAAACTAACGAAAATAGCCCGTTTTTTAATTACGAGAAGATTCAGGGTTACAGAGAAAAAATATTCTTGTAACGACTCTGGGATCCGGCGAGCAAAACCTTGGCTTGAGAAAAAAAAGGTTCTTTACAAAATTTAAATTATTTTAATAAATTGAGTTTTTGGCTGACCATATAACTGTTTCGAGTAATGCCAAATACCCATCATCAGTAGTCTTGGAAATAATTGTAGTATTTAATTATTCGTTATTTTTTTTTTTTTTGAGACTGCAAGTACCTGGAATTAAACTTGTGTCCTGCCAAATTTGAAGCTCAGAGTCAGCGCACCTTAACCAACTGACTGAAAGTCGTACTTGACTTTTATGTTCGCACATTTTTCTAGAGGTTTGTTAGTTTGCTGTGAAAGTTTTATTAACAAATTTACTTGTATTACATATAGAACGAATTCATAAACCATTTGTAGAATAATTGAATTAATTAATCATATTTTTATATTTTTGATTGTTAAATTTCAATTCTATTCTGTTTGTAGATGCATTATTTGTTGCATGATTTATATATTCTTTCATATGTATAGAACCTAATCTAGAAAGATAATACTCAGAAAGTCATGCTAATTTTACTCTACGATTCACGTCAGCGAGATTGGAAATTGAATATATTTTTTATTCATATTATTTTCATTATAATTCTATATTAAATTAAGATCAGTTTATGTTATGCAAGTTATGTCAAGAAAGTTATGTTAAGAAGATTACGATAAGGAGGTTATCTTAAGAAAACGACTTATATTAAAACGGTTTTAATAATTAGAAAAAATTGTGTGTAAGCGGAGAAGTTTTTGAGTTAAATCCACGGTTTAAGTTTGTCTATCATGTGTTAACTGATTTAGCAGTATTTTGCTCTGAAGAAAAAATTTCTAAACATCTAAGAATGTTTTCTTCTTTAACGAGAATTCTTAATATTCTGTTCATTAGCGAAATCAAAAAACATATAAAATAAGAAAACATAATAGTACTTACTAAGTACTAGTAATCTAGTAGACTTTCGCATTAATTGTGAAAGACTTGAAGTGACTTTTTACGGTGGTTAGATTATTCTTTTCAAAGCATTATATGATAGGTCTATATGTGTAGTTTTATTTTCTTAATTACTATATTTAACTGAACGTCACGACTATTGTTGATATACCATGTTATATTTTAAAAGCGTTGAATTGGTTTATATATATAAACCAATATATATTTATATATATAATTCGAAATACGTAACAAACATTTTGTTAACATGTGTTCAGATATACTTATAGTTCTTATAGGTGAATAAAAAATAATTTTGACATAGGGATTTATAAAATACAAATACAAATTTGTATTCTTACTCAATACCACAGTGCGTATGAGTATTTTACTTTTATGAGCAAGTATATTCTGTTGCGGAGTATTAAAACTGCTTCCATTTAACTTAATTCCTACAACAGCTTCTTATGAACAACTTAAGTATTTTAAGTATACATTGTATTGACTCAAAGCACTGTTTATCGGTGAGCATAATTTATCCTGCCACAGTTTTCACCTATAGAGCAGTACTTAAGCTCACTTAAGACGTACATTGTTTTGCCTCTCCATGGTCATTGCTGGCACGTCTAGAGTGCTTAGAATACTGCACACGTACCATAGAGTCAAATGCATTTGTGTCATCATTGATTGTCAAATATTAACCATATTTGCACTTAACACATTTGCATTTTATGCAAATTTTAATATATTTCCGAAAACGAAGCAAAGCTGTTTCATTGAGTGCAGAAGCAAATAAATGCCGAATTCAAATTTTAACGAAATTTTAAAGCAAAGAAATCTGAGGAATCTTAAGCAACTAGTTTATTATTAAGGATTATTTAATTAAGTTTAAGTAAGGTTATGATTATAGTGCTTGTTAGATATTTAACTGAAACATGTTAATCGTGTTTATTATTCGAATTATTATATGCAATTGATTATGAGTTCGAAAGACTAAAATTTGAGTTATTATCTATAAATTTTAAATATGTAAATAAATGTCAAGAACATTGTTCTGATTTCATTTCAATTCTGTTCTGTTCCGATAAAGGAAGGGTTCCGGCAAATGCAAGTGATTTATACATTAGCATACTCAAAAGAAATCGACAATGATATGATGACGATTCAAAAAAGCTAAGAAACTAAACTTCAATCACAAGCCATTAGTCACATTGCCATTAGTCTTAGGAGAAGAAAAATAAAAAGACACATATAATATATAATTTGTGCACAATACATATAATTAATATACAATATATAATTCATATATAACTTTTATATATATTTTATAAAATGTTATTTATTCTAAGGATATTGTATTATTATTAATCATTAATTTTGAATGATGCCAATGGGGTGAGCAAGAAGTATATTAGAGCGCACATTTCAAGATTTTTGAAATGGGAATTTTTTTAATTTTAATGAAACTAAAATAAACTTGAGTTAATTATTAAAAATGTTACTTATGTTGACGACCCTGAGTCACAAATTTGAAAAACAAAAACATGTTGAAGATTATCCGAAGTCTAGCAGTTCTAACAATTGGCTTTACTTACATAAAGTTAGTAAGGAAAGCTTGAGTAATTAAGATTCTTGTTAGATCACGATATTCATCTGGTGCAAATAGAACGAAATTAATACCAGCCAACTAATTTAACTATAACTGAACAAACTCTCTACGACAGTGTTGCTCCTGATCGGTCACTGCGTACTAGAAATATATATAATTACAATCTAACGATTGTCTACGGATTAGGAGGAAACTGTATACCACCTTAAGTATAAGTGTTTAACATTTGCTTGCTGTCATACTTTAAAATAGTAGATGTAGCAAACATTTTTTACTTGACAAGTTGGGTCTTATGTACTTGAATGGGGGAATCACAACTCAAAGGGACGTTGTGCGCGCACTAGATATTTCGGGCTTCCACGTTTCAGAAGGTTCCTCAAATCAGACGTATGGGCAGTGTCTCTTTTGTGATATTACAACAGGACATTGTTTGTGCTTAAATGAGCAACTTAACCTTACCTAACCTGAGAGTCCTAATGCTGTCATTAATATGAAAGACGTTGAAAAAATAAGGAACGCTTGGTACATGAAATAAGTGGTATCAAAATTTATTCTGCAAAAAAGTTTCTTTCTCAAAATTTGTGGCAGAGTATAAAATATTTATAAGGCCATGGTCTAATAGTTCATATTATTACATTAAGAATGATTTAATATAATATACACTGTATATGAAAATAGTTTTTCTTCACTGTTCTATGCTATTTCTATTCAAAAATTGATAATTTGTCATTTAGGCATTAATTTTTTAGAAATTAAAGAATATCTCTTTTTTACATATATTTGCTGTAAGACAAATATGTATAAAGAATTTTTTAAAAATCGTTGTTAGCTTTTTAAGTTTTTTTATTGACATTCTAATGTTTAAAAAAATTAATGTTTTAAAAATTCAATAGTCTTTATTTCATCAAATTTTTTACAGTATGTAGTAAATATTTACTTGTTTTAAATAAAAATTAAATATTTAAACAATTCTAAGTTTAGATGAAATTGTACTTACGGTCACTTGTCCATTGGGTGTTTCTGGTTGCTCCCATGTTATAACCATAGTTGATGAGCTAAGCGGCCTGACTTGCACATTGCGTGGTGCGCTTTCCATTTCTGAAAAATGGTAAATATTTAATTAGTAAATATATAATTTAATATAAATAATTTTACTTTATTAAATGAACTAAGTTATTTGTTTAATAATTTAGTTCCAGTTTAAATAAAATTTTAAAGCTGAAATAAATTATGAGACAACATATTATGAAACATCACTCAACCTTAAATAATAAATGTTCGGATCACTTGGTCCGAACTATAGAGTTTACTTCCTAAATCCATATATATATACATAAAGCTGAAGAAACTATACAAAGTATTACTTTTATCACAAATATCTACATCAGGAGAAGGAGCAACAAGATTATTCTATAATATTAGCTGTATTTGGCCGTTTCGAAGTGCAACGAACAACAACAAGTCTCTCGCTAAAGTCTCTAATTTGTACGCAAAACAACAATACTATTCTCTTGCTCTAATAGACTTGTTATAAAGTTTTTACTAATCTAAGAGAATGCAGATAAAATGGGACCAACGCGATAAGCGATCTATCAAACAAAAAAAAAACCTAAGCAACATTAAATGGTTTGACAAATTCGAAAACTGTGAAAACACAAATATTTTTAAAATATATAAAAATCGTTTGAAATAAATAGTTTAAAAATATTTAAAGGTTTTAAAAAATACATTACGAGAGTATAATTAAAAAGCAAACTAAATTTTATAACTTGTTAGTTGTTAGCAAGTTTACACTTATTAAGTTAGTAAGTTTCTTAATAAATATATTTAGATTTATACGAAATTTAGTTCGCCTTGAATACTACGTACCTGCTTATCATTTACTAGTTATGGAAGTAACTGAGAGTCGCTTTTGAAAAACGGTTCTATTGGTATAAACATATGAAATGCAAACTGAATAGTTGCTCTAAAATTCTACATCTCCTAAAGTCGCTGTTTAATAATAATCGCTTCAACTTCATAAATAGAAAGTTATTATATACTCAAATAATTACACCAGCACTACTGTACGGATGTATAACATACAGTAAAGCCTGAAATACTCCCATAAACCACTTACAGACAGCTCAAAACCTGGCTGTAAGAAGACTATTTAAGATTTCATGGTACATTAGAACAACTGATATACACAGAGATCTAAGGATCGACTTAGTGAAAATATATATCAGGCACAGAACCCTAAAATTATTCACAAAAGTTGATACGTTGTCCAACCCCGCCCTAATAAACCTTAAGTCCACCTCAGGACCCACGGAAAGATATGCTCAGCTACGGTCTGTCATCAATTAAAAGATAAATAAACGACATGAATTTCTGCATAGTTAAAGGCTAGTGTGAGGTAGTGCCACAAATGAGTAAAAGTGCGGAAAAGCACTAACCCAAGAAAGTACAACAACAACAATATAATATTGGACAGATTGCAACAGTGATGCCAATATGCATCACTAAGAGACTGCAGCAAGAGACTTGCTGGATTTTGCCGTGTTTCGTAACGACCGGATATTATTATTAAAGTGACGTCTCTTAATATATTCGGAATATCGATCTCATTAGTTGGGCTTTGGTGACCTTAAAAACATATGTAACACTTAATATAAATAGTACGGCACTGGTTGATCAAGAACCCGGTCAACAAAATTGGAGCTCGGTTAGTATTGATCACTACTAGTAATCCTATATGTAGAACTGATATTGAAATGTGATATTTCAGTTTGGGTGTGTATTTATCCATAAGTTCTAAATTTAACTTGAGAACTTAATTTTGTTGTAGTGCAAAGGAAAGAACCACACGCTGATGCTTGACTATAATTTCACTACTATTTATACTTAATAAAGTAGCAGCCAGTGCTACCAAATTAAAAATATTTAAATTAACTTCGGTAAAGATTTGGAAAGTGTGTGACTCGAGAATGTCGGAATGTAAATTTATTTAGTTATCGTATAAATATAATAGTACAAACTTGCATAAATAACCAACACACACATAAATACATATACACACAAATTTCATTTGATGCATGCAACATATATGTATAAGTCGTACATATGTATGTGTACAAGTCATATACAGAGTAGAGTGTAATAAATAATTATGTAAAATACACAGTTGTAAATATAGACAACCACTAACGGTGTTGGTAACAGGAACCGGAAACTGCAGCTCAAACTGGAATTGTGAAACAAATATACAAATAAATTGTTACCAGCAACAGCAGCAGCGGCAGCAGCAGCAACAACAACAACAGCAGCAACAAAAGTAATAGGAAGAATAACAAAAACATTAGAGCATGAAAATCAAATCAAGCATTCAGTGCTACCAACTTTCCACACAAGTCTATTTGTTTATATTACTGTGTATATGCGTTTGCGTTTGTGTTTGTTAGTGTTTTTAATGCACGTATTTGCGTTAACTTTATGTGTATGTTTGCGTGGTGTAATGGATGTCGACTTCTATGTTGGTTAATGTATAATATGTGTTGGTGAGTGTGTTAGTTGGCGTTAAGTATAGCTTTTGCATGGTCTTCCTTGACTTCATATAAGTAAAATTTTTTTTTTTTGTGACAATTTCATGTGATTTTTTAAGTGGTTAAGTGGAAAGCGGTGAGCGGTAAAGCACGAGAGCGGTAACGAGTTCAAAATATTTGCCAACTTTCTTCATTGAAGAGAGTAAATTTATTTTGCATTCATTTTATAGCTTCACGTGTATATTCGTATAATCGTATATTTGTAGTTTTGTTGATTTGTATGTATGATAGATGCTTCACCTCCAAATTTCAACGTTCCATACAGAAATCGTATACAAGCTGCATTTTTGCAATTCTATAACGACTACAGCCATGATACGAACCATGGCTACCAACTGTAGCCTGACTATAGGAACAATTTTACATACGTTGAGGAATTTTTAGGTTCTAATGTATTTAGGAATAGGTACAGGTGCATTGCTATGTTTATATTTATTTTAGCATTGTTACTTTTTCAACGTGTGCATGTTTATAAATTTTAATTTACAAATGTGTAAATTAAAAGCATTTCGGTGTTATTTTGCCCAGAGATTTGAAATTGTTACAGTTTTGTACATAAATTAATGCATAACTGTTATTTCATTGCTATTGTAATAATATATATATATACATTTATGCATACTTAGATATGAATAATGCACTTTTGCACTCACATAAATGCATAACTATCAATTAAGTACATTTTAAGCCACTGTCAATATAGTTAAGCTACTTTTATTACTAAATATAATTAAGTGCTTAGAGAAAAGTGAGTTAACCAATTAAATGGTAAATTGAAGGGAAAAGGAAAGGAGGGGAGTTGAAAGGTAAATGCTTAGAAAATCTTTAATTTAGATTAGTTTAGAAATTAATCAAAATCTACTGATAACAAGCTCCTTAATAGCAATTAGTGTAGAACATTTATTAAACAGTTATTAATATAAATTACTAATTGTGGAAAATTTGAAATTGATGTGGAGTACCTATCTTAAATTTACACATTTTAAACAAAATATATAATTACATATCTAAGTGAAATATAACATAATTGCTAAAGAACAGTAATGCAGATGAAGCAACTTAAATTTATTTGAAAAATGTTTCTTAACGTTTTCGGTAATCAGAGGAAGGTTATCCTTAGATTTGAGTAGCTTGATTAACAGGATGCACTTATCTTAATACATATTATAAAATGAATAATATTTAGTATAATTATAGCACTCTAATCTTAAGAAGATATATTATGTTCTTAGAAGAAAATCTAAAAAGTTTATATAAAAGTTGTTTATTTTATTTTAAGCAGCTATCACAAAACTTTCTTAGATCCAATCATTCGATGTCTTTTCACAAAACAAGTTAAGTGATCACATAATACATAGGTATATATGTATTTAACAGGTAATTTCGGTATTACTTACTAATTTAGTTGGCCATTACAGACGTTAGTTGTTCTTGGCCACGTCGAGTAGTCCATTTCGGTTACGCGCTAGAATATTTCACTTTAGCTACCTTTAAAGGTGTAAAAAGTTAAAAGCGAAATAACTAGTTAATTTTTTCGGACTGTAATTAATTATGTATTATTAATATAATACATGAACTCGTTTTATCTTTTATAGTCTGTCATCCTTGATAGAATGACATATCTTTGTTCTGGTTTTATTTCATATCTTCTGTTATACTACATAAGGCTGCAGTAACTAGTTTAGTATTTTTATTTATGATTTGAAAAGTGTTTCAGTTAGGAAGCCCAGTGGCTTGAATATTTTAAATATTTTAAAAATTGTACATTTTTTATTAAAATGGCAATATTTCTGAAACAAATTATTAATACAAAGTTTTTAAGTAAAAAATTGTAGTGCTTCTTTCACGAGTGAATGCATAAACGCTCAATTTAAATCATAACACACATAATAATAAAATGATATATGCAATAATATATCATATAATAGGAAATTATAGTTTAGACACAATAAACAAAGTTGCCACCCCGAAGAAAATATTAATACTTCATAGACGTACGTGCAACTACATAAAACTTCTAAAATATGAAACTTTTGTAATTACGCAAATGTTCCCCGTATGCGACTAACTTCTTCGGAAACTTTATTAACGCACACACATGTACACGAACCAATACAAAAGAGTTTAAGTGATGTGGGTAGTGCGGTTCCCATAATAGAGATCCAATGTGGCAGATAGGACCAATATTATGTTAACCCACACCTCCGAGGCACGTAACATAAATTATAACAATTTTACGCGCATAGTTTACAGTTATCAATAAGCCAAAGTTCTGCTACGTATAAAATTAATTGCAAGGCAGTTATGCGTTGCCAACTATAGTTAGCTACAAAAAATACTAAAAAAAAATAAAAATTTAAACGAAAAAAATTGTAAAAAAAGGAAATCGTCGAAGCAAACTGAGCTTAACTAACATGAAGATGAAAAAAATGTTCAGAAACGATAAATTTCGATTACCGATTTAATTGAGAAATTTTGCAAAGTTTTAGCAAAATTATGTGATTGTGTAGTGTG